TACAGCACAGGCTCTATGTAGATTCAACGCACAACCATAAATCAAGCTTTACATATGAACTTTCACTTAGAAACACAGTGAAGTGACGTCTAATGGCCCATTTGTCTTTGACAATTGGCACTTTATTAGTCTTAATAAACCTTTTTCAGTCATGCAGTGTCATCCAGAAATCTTAGAGGTTGGAATCAATCTTTCTTTGTAGTGCTGCTGCAGTAGGGAGCCACAGTAATACAACCTCTGGGTAGAGCACAATGTGCATAATGTGTATTTTGAATGAAGAAACCAATCAGACAATAAAGCAGCATTATCTCAGCATCTCACTTACTCAAAGCAAATATGGTTAAAAGTTTTTAAAATGCCTGGATGTTTGACAAACAGAGACTTAAGAAGCTACAGACATATGAAAGTACAAAGAGATCAGTCTGCACGTAAAAAGACCAAAGTGGTTGCATTGCATTTTAGCCCATTAAATACACATCTTAGGCACCACTACTGGTGAATTTTCACAGCATACTATATGTTTCACTCTCTTACTTTCCAAGTGGCCTTGGATTACTGGAAAATGACTGTAAAATCAATTTTTCAGAGACATGAAATGTGCTTGTGCTGTTTAATCTATCACAGTGAAGGTTTCATCATCATTTCTCTTACGTGTGTGTGTTGAAGTTATTGCCCCTTGGTTTTCTCCACTCTCCTTGTTGGTGCATTTAAGGACCACCCAACATCCAAAATTCAACAATCTGTGACATGAAACAACCACATTCAGGAGATGTTTGTGGTTTGACTTTTGCTCTGAGCTTGTAGTTGCTGTCTTTCACTGCTGATATTTTACTGTACTCTTGCCAACGTTTTTGTACTTATCTACCCCGTTGAGTACTAGAGTGTGCTGAAAGCTTTATGTATTGATGTTGGAGCTGATAACACAGAATTAATAGAAATGCGAAGTCTAGTATAGTGTCTGCTTTATACAGTAACAGTCCTTTGGAGTCTGAACAGTATATAGGAGTATGCAGTAATGGGCCACCATGTTTAACAGTTACTGAGTAAATGTGTCTGACTGCTGGGGTCCATTAGAAAGCAGTAGATGGAAGTGTGGATTGATGACTCTTGCTTGACATCAATCTGTCATCCTCTTGCTTGGCGGCAGGCATCAACTCATCTGGTGACAAATCAACCTTGGACCAACTCTCTTCTGACTCAGCAGCTATTTCCTCACCTCTCTCCTCCTTCCACAGCTGTTCATACTCCTGTTTAAGCTCCTGATAGGAGCGGGAGAAGGTGTGAAAGATGGAGGTGGCAGGGAACGCCATGATGAGGATACCGCTCAGGATGCTGGTCAGTGCCACTACCTGTCCAGGAATGCTGCGCGGCACCATGTCGCCGTAGCCCACTGTGGTCATAGAGATGATGGCCCACCAATAAGATGCTGGAATGCTGCTGAAGCTGTGGTGCGGGTGTGTGGCAGCAAATGGCGCGAGTTCGCTCTCCGCTAGATGGACCAGAGGTGAGAAGAGGGTCACAGCCACACAGACAAACAACAACAGCAAGCCAAACTCCCTGATGCTGCGCTGCATGGTCAGTCCTAACGTCTGCAGGCCCAGAGAGTGGCGAGCCAGCCGCATGACATACAAGATCCGCAGGGCCCGCAGCAGGCGCAGGATCAGACTCAGTTTGTCCAGATAGCCTCTTCCAGCACCCATGATGACTTCTTCCTGTGTCTCATCTCTGACGTTGACTACCAGGGACACGTAGTATGGCAGGATGGCGATGGCATCGATGATGTTGAGGGGGCCACGAGCAAAGGCTAGTTTGCTCTGAGCATTGAAAAATCGCAGTGCAAACTCCAAGGTGAACCAGGCCACACAGATGGACTCCACCACAAACATGTTGTGACACCTCTGGGAGCACTCGCCCTGCAGACACAGGGACACAGAGGTGAAAATATACAGAGCAACTTTAAACTCCACCAATTTTAGACATGAACCTCAGTCAGCTAGTACAGTTAGTCAGTGTTGCATTGCCTGGTTGTGGAAACTCTGCAGGTAAAAATGTCAGGACGTCATTAACATAGGGTGCCACCTTGCTCACCATCTAATAAGCTGTCCAATGCCGATTCAAATGTCTCCAAGCCATTTATAATGGGTTTCTCAAATTTTAATAAACCATCAGTAAAAGTTAGTCACCTACAAATGTTAATAACTCATTACTAAAATGTACTACAGTAATCCATAAAGTATGCAGGTGTAAATGTTACTAAGTACTTTATAAATGGATTTTAGTCCAAACGTCTCCTTCTGTACTGTTTGCCAGTACATAGGTCTCAAAAACTAATTAGACAAGCTAAGTGCTAGAGGAGGATTTTCCATAACCTGGCAACCCAAATGTTCATATTGATGGCTTATAACCTGTCAATAATCAGTGGTCTCCAGTTGGAAATGAACTGTAAACACTGAGGTCATGTTCCATGCATGCTAGCCATCAGGCTTCTAGGGCTCTCCCATTTCTGCCTTTTTAAAAAACATCCACTGAATTTTATAAAGTCCGATTTAGATTAATATGAAATACAAATATGTATACAGTGTAGATACACTCACTGGCCACTTTATTA